GGGCACCGGGGCCGGGGTGCTGCCCAGGGCTTCACAGCAGCGCTGGGGTTAAATTACACCGGGCCCCCGGGGGCCCAAAGTCATAAATAGGAGCTGCCGCTCGAGAACAATAAATAAATAATTTAGAGTAATAAATAGTTTAGTGCCGCAGCACCACAGGGGCAGCGGGGGGACCCTGCCACCCCCCAGGAGCTGGGCAGGGGTCCTGGCAGGACCCTGCGCCCCGCCACCCTGTGGAGCACCAGGGACTGCTGCCAGCCCGGGTGCGGGTCCCCCACCCTGGGCTGGTGCAGTTTGGCCCCGCTGCACCCCTGTCCTCAGGGACACCCCCTCCTTGCAGGGCAGCTCCAGCCACTGCCAGCCCCAGGGTGCCCAAGGGAACAGAGAGGTTTTGCCCCTTTTCTGTCCCCCTCTGAAGCTTGGGGGCCACTTGGCCCCAGCTCCCCTAAAGCAGGGGTGCAGGAGCACCAGTCCAGACAGGGCACAGGTGAGCCGGGTGCTGCTGGTGGACACCGGGCTGGCAGACGCCTGTGAGCAGTGGGGATGCTCCATACCCCTTCCAGCTCGTCTCCCAGGGCTGAGCTGGGGTGCACCTGGGCAGGACCCCATGTAGCTGGTGGCACCAGCTGCTTGGCACTGAGCGGGAGGGGGCTCAGCCGCCCACCCCCCCGTCACGGCTCCATCTCGCCTCGGTCCCTTGTGGCCACGTAAAACCAGGGACACCCGCCTCCACCAAACCCTTCCTCTGAGCATTGGCACTGCTGTGCACCATGAGCCAGGGTCTGCCGGTGTGCGTCGAGCTGGGGCCGAGCCGGCGGCCCCCTCCTCAGCCGATGCAGCTGCACTCGGCCGCCGAGAGCTTCTCCACCGTCTGCCACGTGTTCTGCACATCCATGAAGGAGACAGCCTCATAGCGGGTAGGCCGGCAGCAGGGGTGACTGAGAACCCGCTCCTGTGGCCCTGGGGTGATGAGCTGCTGCCGCAGCAGGTTGCCCAGGGTCAGGTCGTAGTTGCTGCGCGCCCGGTGGCAGGACCCACTGCAGTACTTGAAGAGCACGATCTCGTCCGAGTTGAAGCCCAGGCCCAGGTCACGCACCTTCACCATCAGGTTGCGAATGTGGCAGTTGCGCCCACGGGCCCCCCGTGAGGGTTTCCGTGCCCCCTTCTTGGCTTTGCTGGCACCTGGTGGTGAGCGCTCGGCACGCAGCAGGAGGTCCTCTGCCAGCTCCACGGTGCCCGGGCCACCCGTCGTCACGTTGTCCCCTGCACACAGAGGGGATGGCACCATCAGACCCCATCCCTCACCCACCGCCCTCCTGGGGCCTGCCAAGCCTGCCTGTCCCCTGCCGTGACCTGCAGACCCCTCCTTACGCTATGGCACTGGCCAGGTGCCTGCGGGGCGGTAGGGTGGGTGGGTGCCCAGCCAAGCATCTTCTCATCCCCAGGGCTCTGCCACCAGAAGCATGGGGCCCCATGTTTTCAGACCCCCAGCCCAGCCCTGATGTGCAGAGGCAGCCCCACATGGGCTGGGGCTCTCCACAGCAGCCCGCAACCCGCCCATGCTCCACGCTCAGGGCTACCGTGCCCAGGCTGGGGGTCCTGCCCCAACACGCACCATACAGCTGGCTCCAGGCAGCGGCGAGCGGTACCTCCACGCCATCCTCCACAGCCGGGCTGGCGGTGGCCATGCCCCGCGGCGTGGGGGCTGCACCCAGCGTCTCGTTGCACTGAGGGGTTCGCAGGGTACCCGCAGCCAGCCCAGCCAGCAGCGAGAAGATGGCGAGGAGCCCCCACAGTGTCCCCTCCTGCGACAAAGCACAGCACAGCGGGGTGAGCCCCTGACCAGGGTCCCCACACCAGGGACGAGGCTCCATGAGCTGAGGATGGGGATGGGGATGTGTGGTCCCAGCTATTGTGACCAGCCAGGCCTGGGCTCACCTTGGGCTGCAGGTGCGTGGTGGGTCCTGCAGGTCTCGGCTCTGGTGGCCCCGCTCGCTGCTCCATGCTGGCTGCAAGTGTAGAGGTGGGGGTCAATGTCCACACAGAGGGGATGGGGTGGGCATCGAGCTGGTCAGCTGGGAGCTGGCACACCTCTCCCCTGCCCCTGCCAAGCATGCCATCCCCTCCCTCGCCTCCCCAGCACCCTGCAACACCTCCTGCACCCCATGCATGATGCCCCCCAAGTCCCCTCCCCGCACAGCCAGGCACCCTTGCCACCCTGCACACCCCTTCAAAGAGATTTGGCAGCTGGGGCAGCCCAGCCTTCGCCCAGCACCTCTCCTCAGGGGGACACAGCCACCTCCTTGCGCGAGCAGCCCAGGATGCCAGGCTGGGCCGTGAGGCAGCGGCTGGGGCTGAGAGTGCCGCGGGGGGGCCCTTTCCCATGGCCCTTCCCTGGGAATGTTTTTCTTGCTCGCAGTGGGAGCCTGACCTTGGAAACTCCCAATCCATTAGCACAGGGTCCTTGGGTGCAGCCAGCCCCCGGCCCCACGCTGGCTCCCCAGCCCGCTGCCTGTGCCGAGCTGGGATGCGCAGCCCCAGAGCAGCCCAGACAAGTGGGGCCGTGAGGGACAGGATGGGCAGGCAGGTCCTGTAGGGACATGGTGGGGTGCAGGGCACCACACTGGGCTCGCTGTAGTCATTCACCCCAACACCACTGCCTGGCGTCCGCCGCCCTGACACACACAGGGGAATTCGATCCCCGACGTGCATGGTCCCAGCGGAGCAGCGTGCACGGTCTCAGGGGAGTGATGTCCCCCGGGAGGTGCAGGGCCAACTCCGAGTCTGCAGCCACAGGTTGCACCTCCTTCCCCAGCTCCCCCGGGGTGCAGGGAGGCCCCTGTGCCCCAGTGTCCCAAGCCAGGATCCCCCAGAGGTGGCTCCCAAGGGGGCCTTAACCCTCCTTGGCCTGTCTGCTGCATCCCCTGTCTCTCAGGACAGGACTGTCCCCTTGGAGCTTGGTGGCATCCTGCAGCAGGGAATTTCCCCATCCCCTCCATGGCTTTGCCCCGGCATGTCCCAGGTGCTTCTGTAGCAAAGCTGGGATGGGACATGCTGAGGAGAGTGCTCCCGGCCAAAAAAATGAAGAGACACAGCTGGGCACCGCTGGGACAAGGAGACAAAATCAGTTCCCCCAGTCCCGCCAGCATCTCAGGGGATGGTCCCCAAGTCCCGATTGCCACATCTGATGCCACCCTGCACTGGCCACACCATGGCAAGGGGCTGTGATGGGCACTGCCAAGCCCACGTGCTTCCTCCGGGGGCCGTGCACCAGGCAGGATGCGTCCCCGGTGCAGGCAGGGCTGGCACCGGGCA